AAATCACCCATTTCAAACCCCAAATTGGTATGTAATCCTTCCTAGCTGATAGTATAAGACATTTAGCTTTCATATTCGTGTTTAATTCATGAAATAGGACCAAATAAATGTGTTTGCGGCCCTGGAACACCCTTGGGCCGCAAAAACACATAGATGGGGTTTTTGAGCCTCAAAACCCTTCCAAACCAAATTTGGAGCTTAGATATGACTTACGGGCTTACAATACTGGACTTAGAACATCAAAACCTTATCATTTGAAGAGTAAACATGATTTTACGGCCCAAGAGCATGCTTAGACTATAAACACCCTTTCATAGACTGTAAACCCCTTTTAAGGTGTTAAAATGCCCCTTAAACACCTCGTAAGCCTTGGAATAAAGTCTAGAACCATTCAACAATGTGTTAGGGACCTTAAACTCAAAGGAAACCACCCCCTTAGGAGTTTACGGCTGTAAACCCCCCAAGGAATGGTTCATGGGCCGTAAACTCATATAAGTTGGTCAAAAGGTGCCCTAACCTCCACCCAAGGCTTATTTATTGAGTTAGAATCACATGTGATTAATCTACAACCACCAAAACAAAAAAGGAATGGGTATGTGGGAGCCTACGACCATAAACTCCTAGTTTACAGCCGTAAACTCCATTAAATATTTCCTTTGGTGGTTTAATCCCTTCCAATGCCTTAAAACCAAGCCTAGCATTACCCCACAAGAGTTGTAAGACCACTAGGCACCCAAGAACACCCCCACCATGAGTTTACGGCTGTAAACTCATGGGGAGTTGGTCATTGGGCCGAAAACTCCATTAGAAGTTTACTCTTGAAGAGCAAACTCCATATTCAAGCCATACACACCTTTAGATGTTACCCGGGTCACTCCTAACACTTGAAATGAGGTGTTTTCGCATCTCGGAGTGTATATTCTCAATTAATTAGTATTTCAAAGTGTAATTAGATACAATTATGTATCTCTTCATATTGCATAGGAACCTTGCGTGTTTTCAATCCCTGGACTGACGTTTAGCATCCAAACCGACACATTCCTCGATTGGTGAGTTCATACCCCTGCATCTTTTTCCGTGTTTTCAAATGTTTTCAGGGGGGATATAGGCAAAGTACAAGGAAATCTTGTACTCAAACTTATTATTTCAGTTCAAATGTTCATATTTTGTATGCGTTTAATATCGAAAACCGTATTAAGCAACAATTTGACTTCCATAGTTAGCTTTCAGACTAATTGTAGATTTCTTTATAAAATGTTATAATCTATGTTACATTTTATAATTTACAAAAGATTCATGCTAATCATAAATTAGGGTTACTACTAATAAAATACGCCTCCAAATAGTACTAGAACTTCAAAAGTACGCCTTTAGATGGCACCAAAACTTCAAAATACAGCTAGTGTACGCCTTGAGTGTCACCAAAGTTTCGGAAATAATTCGAAAGTACGCCTTTGGATATCGATAGAGTTTTGAAAAAGTACACCTTTGGATGTCGACAGAGCTTCGGAAATATGTCTAAAACACGCCTTTGGATGTCACCAGAACTTAGAATATACAGCTAGTGTACGTCTCTGAGTGTCCCCAAAGATTCGAAATTTCGAATAAGTATAGTAGATATTCGACATTCGTGTATAGGATAACCAGGCTTTGAGAATACTTATCTAATACTACAAGTAAGATAGATACTAATACATTTCATTCCGAACCAAGAACTAACCACGACTTTTACGAAAATAAGGGTTTTTCCTGGGATAACAAACTGTTCGTAACCAAACTGCAGAATAAACGAATAACCAAATTTACATATAATAAAATATGGGATTTTCTTGGATTACAAACTCTTCCTAACTAGATTGTGTAATAAACTGATAACCAAACTTAATTTGACTATGTAACAAACGGATAACTAACTTTGCTTATAAGAAAATATGGGATTTTCTTGGATAAAGACTTTTTCAGAAAAACCAAAGGAAACTTGTTCTTTTACGAAAGTAAACCGCTTATGAAATCACCAGCTTTATGCTTGTTTTCAAACTACTTGTATTCTCAGGTCCACATTAGACAGGTACACATCGATCTTTTGGAGAAGACGGAGCGTATAGAAGACTCGTCTTAACTTTTGTTCATATGATATATATGTATAACACTTGTAACACCTTGTTTTCAGAAAATGTAAATATTTCTATGTAATGTAATGGTTGTGTTTACTACGCTTACTCTATACATTGGTTGCGATACTACATGACGTCCTCCGCCCCAGAACGTTTCCGCCATTGCTTTCGGGGTGTGACAAAGTGATAGCCTATGCCTGAAGACAATTACAAGATTATGAAAAGAATTTTCCCACTCATGACCTCGAACTTGTTGCAGTGGTATTTTCCTTAAATCTTTGGAGACATTATCTTTTTGGTACAAAATGCCAGTTGTTTACTGACCACAAAAGTCTCAAATATATATTTACTCAACAAACTCTAAATATGAGACAACAACGAGCCATGGAGCTGATCAAAGACTATGACTATGAAATCTTGTATCCTCCTGGAAAGGCCAATGTAGTTGATGATGCTCTTAGCAGAAAGGTTTATCGTCATAGTATGTGTTATACTGTTACTCACACTACAGTAAAGTTCACTATTCTAGATGAACTTAGAGAAATGGCAAGTAAAGGCCTTAAAGACAAAAAATGTGAAGAAAGAAGGGATGGCACATTATATTCATGTTTTACTTGATGATCCACGAGGATTAAAGGTATTCAAGAATGGGCTATGGATTCCAAAGATTGGTGGATAAGACAGAAGATTTTAAATGAAGCTCACAAGTCTAAGCTATCAATACATTCTAGTAGAAGTAAAATGTACTATGATGTAAAAGCTGATTATTGGTGGCCTGTATTAAAGAAACACATTGGAAGACACATACATGAATATTTAGTATGCTTACAAGTCAAAGCAGAACACCAAAATCCATACGAAATTCCAGAAAGTCTTAGTGTTTCCATGTGGAAATGGGAAGAGCTATCCATGAATTTTATTACCAAATTGCCAAAGACTGCTAGACAAAATGATAGTATTTGGGTAGTTATCGACCGATTGACTAAAAGTGCACATTTTCGTGTAATGCGTGAAACAACCCAATGGAGAAATACGCACAAGTGTACTTGGATGAAATCGTTGCGAGACATGGTGTGCCACTAAAGATTATTTTCGATTGTGATACTCGCTTCACTTCTCATTTTTTGGTGAGTATGCAACGTGAATTGGGATCTCGAGTTGCTCTCAGTACAACTTATCATCCCCAGACAGACGGTCAGATGGAGAGAACGATCCACACAGTAGAAGATATGCTTCGTGCATGTGTCTTGGAGTTCGGAGGTAACTGGGATAAGTACTTACCTCTTGTCGAATTTTCATATAATAATAGTTACCATGCTTCAATTAAAATGCCATCATATGAAGCACTATATGGATGTAGATTTCGTACTCCATTATATTAGCGTGAAGTATGAAAAAAAATCCTTGGAGGCCCTGAATTGATTCAAGATACCACTGGCAAGATTCAAATTGTACGAGAAAGAATGAAAGCGGCCCAGGATCGACAAAAGTCCTATGTGAAAAGGTGGAGATGACCCATAAAATTACAGGTGTGTGATTTCGTAATGCTGAAGGTATCCCCATGGAAAGGCATTATGCAATCTGGAAATAAATGAAAACTAAGTCCTAGATTTGTTTTTCCTTTCAAGATCATCCAAAGAACTGGTAAACAAGCATACCGCTTAGAATTTCCTGAAAATTTGGCAGGTATTCATGATGGGTTTCATGTGAGTTATATGCGTAAATGTTTAAGCATATATGATGAAACAGCTCCGTTATCTGAGGTTAAACTGGATAATAAGTTAACAAATGTAGAAGACCCTGAAGAGATTGTAAACGAAAAAACAACTAATCTACGTAATAAAGAAGTGCAATTGGTGCTTGTCAAGTGGAAAAACCATCGAGGCCCAAATTATACTTGGGAAAATAATAATAAGATAAGAAAGAAATATGCCCATTTGTTTTAATCGTTGTAATTTCGAGGACGAAATCCTCAGAAAGAGGAGGTATCTGTAACATACACGTTAATAACCTTGTTCGATTATCGTGTTTTGTAAACCTTATTAGCTTAAAATGAATAATATTGTATGTTTTTGAGCGTTGAGTTCTAACAAATTAGTTTTTACGATATTTGAAGTAAAACTATGTTTAGAATCACGCGAAATGTATTGGAAGTCTGATGAAATTCCGATCAAAAGTCAACAATCGAAATTAATGAAAATATAAAGTTTGAAATAAATAAAAATAATGTTATTGAAATTTGTAGACTATCTCGTTAGAAGCATTTAGGCGAAAACTTCATCGAAATCCGAGTTATAACGAAGAAGTTATGACCAATCAAAGATCCACGACAAAACAGGCAAAACACTATTTAGCATAAAAAGTGAGTTTTCAATAAACTATTTTGCAGCTTTAGTGATCTAAATTAAAGTATTAATATTCGTTAAACCAAGAATTTTCTTAAAAAGAATGTCAAAATCTGACTTCGTATGAGTAAGTTATGATTATTCCAAATTTCGGTATAGCAATATACAACTAAAAAATCGAAATAAAGATCGAGTGATTTTTTAGCTGACACAACCTAAACGAGAATCAAATGTCTTGTCAATAGTAGTACAACGGTAAAAAAGACAGACGAAAACGGACGTCACATGAAGAAGTTATGAATTTTTAACGGATTTTCCTATCCCTCTCTGTTAAAAAAATAATAATAAGAATAATAGATCAATATTAGCCAACAGAGTCTAAACGAAAATTATAGAGTATAATCTCTCTTACGCGTGCATATAAAGATCATTAAAAACAGAGCTTATATGCGAAAGTTATGAATTTTTGAAGTTTGGGGCACAAAATCTGAGAAATTTCGCATACACACAGCCTAGAATCGACCATGTCCCCTCACTTCGCATGCCTGCCCCGTGTCCGACTCGTGGCGCGTCTGAAGCTCCGGAGCGAGCCACCTCGCCCTCACATCCGACGAGTTTCATTGCAGTGGAGGCCTCCAAACTGAGATGCGTGTCTCGCCTCCTGTCCGACACCATACCCTTTGCCCCCTCGCATATGATGCCGCATGTGCCTCTTTACCCCCTTCGATCGAAGCGTTGCCCTATATAAAGAGAGGTGCAAACCCTCCCGGTTTTGTTTGGAAATTTCACACTTTTTACCCCTAAATCCATTTTTAAACTATTCTAACATCCCCCGAAGCCCCGAGATCATACCTAACACCCGAAAAACGTCTCGAAGTGCCTGAAGGCCCCAAGAAATTTATTTTATCGGTTTGAAGCTCAACCCTTGCAAGGCTCGATTTTCAATAAATCTCTCGGTTTTCATCGAAGAAAGTTAATTATAGAAACGAAGCACTTCCCAAATTACTATTTTAACCTTCGGTTATTTCACAGTGAGTTCAAATTATAGGAACAATTGTATGTTATGTGTTATTTGTGCAATGTGCTTTCCTGTGTTATTATGATAATGGAGTTATACCTTTGACCATGAAGTGAATGACTAAGCATCACTTTGGTATTGGTATGTAGCCTTTGACCATGAAGTGAATGAGTAAGCATCACTTTGGTATTGGGAGAATGCTAGATAGGGCTGAAAGCCTGTATAGTCTAGTAAAATGATAATCCAAAATTGTATTTTATGTATCTTATTGATTGTAAATCTTTGAGTCAGATCATTTGTTGATATGGAAAGATTTTCACATGATTCACATATGCCTTTGTTGTTCTTTGTTCCTATTTGCTTCTGTCATATTGGTATATATATGGCATTATGTTATATTGTATCTATTTTTGAACTCACTAAGCGTCACCGCTTATCCCTCTCAGTGTTTAACAATTGCAGGTAATAAGCATCAAGTATAGACACATACTGTTGGAAGATTTAGAATATTTAATAATATTACTTTTGTATTTAGTGATCATGTATGTATAAAATTATAATTTCCTAGGTAGTTATGTAATATACTAAAAAGTTAGTCGGTTTGTATCCAATCTTTTGTAATTAAACTATCAATGTAATATATTATTTATGAATATGCATATAGAATGTTTTGGATTAATATGATGTAGTTTTAGAGAGGGGTTCTCTCAATTACATAGATAAGTTTGAATCTAATATCATTTGATTATTAAGGTGTTATGATCAGAACTACCAATTTAACAAAAGTTTATAGATTTACTTCATAAATGACATTATGATACAATATTCTTTATCACATGATACATTGTTTCAGATCATGAATGTGAACATTCATTAAACAATAAGTAAATCTAGATTTATTCGTAAATTTACAACTATTACATTTTCGTATAATATAAGTAGAAAACGTTTATTGTTTAAAGACTATAAAAACACTTGTTATATCTTCAGCACGAAATACCATTCATTTGTAATCAGTTAATTATTTATTCCAATCATCAGCATAAAATATCAATTATTACTGTCACCTGAAGTATAAAATACTAATGTGAATGATGGAAAAAATAAATAACTCTATCATATAGATATCTAAAGTCTCGATCAAGTTATGTTGTATTTCCCTTAAATGAACTATAAGTCTATTTGAATACATAATCTCTAATACTTCCTTTATTTAATGCTTGAACAGACTTGAACCAATTTCTACTAGTCTAATTGAATATCTATGAGACATCTAATAGGTTTCATAATTATCCTACACTTTATGCAAGTCAAGGTTAATTACTCCAGTATCATGTGAGACACATCAATATTTCCAATAATACTTCCATCAAAGTATTATGATCAGACTAACTGTATTATAGACGTTATTTAGGTGTGTAATCTTTTAGTATATATAATTTCTATTTATTCTTAAGGTAGAACCTTAAGATATTATACCACTTATAGTAATTATAACCATAAAATGTTATTGTCTCTTGCACTACTAGAAGACAACCCTTTAATGACGCGCAAAAACTGACACGCGCTGATAGAGGACACACATTTGTACGTGCCCTAAAATATAATGTTAATTTTGCAAAATATGAAGGATAAAGGATACGCATTTGTGCGTGCCCTGAAATTAGTGTTAGAAAAGAAAAAAAATGGAAATGCGGAGGGCGCCTTTCATAAAATGTGTGTCATCTAAGTGTGTCGCATTATAATTTTTTAATGAAACACATGTTTTAAGCAGGATTTCACGTGCCCATTGCATCCCAAAAATTAAAACCCCCGCCTCTTCCAATTAGCAAGAAAAATCCCTAGGGCCTTCGTGTTCATAGAAGAATTGCTCTCGCTTTCGTGATCAAATGCCTCGCAACGACGATTGTTTTGATGTTTCCAATCTTTTTCTCAGTGTTGTAAACCACTATAGGGACTAGTGTTATGCATTTTCTTTACTCATTGACTCACACGCATTCTGATCAGGGAGCTGAACCCATGGAGTCGACAATTGGGTACCACTCCTCACAGTCAAAAGTCTGGTATTTTAAGGTTTTTGTCCCCGATATCAAAGAAGGACTAGGGATTTTATGTTGTAGACCTCACAAGTGCGCACCTAAGAACTAGTGCTTTTATATCAGTGTGTTCAGGCAGAACAACTATATCCGCTCTTCATCCTCGAAAGGTCAGTTCTGGGGTTTCAAAACTATAGGGCTCAAGTTAGAGGCTGAAGATCAGAAATCGAAGGTTGAAGGTCAGATTTGGGATTAGATGTCGTAGGTTCACAGTCAGATTGGAAGCATCGAAAATTAGGAAACGAAAATGGAAGAGGCACCAGGTTTGAATATCATTCTCTTCTTCTCCAAGTATGTACCCTAAGTTTCTTTCTCTTATTTTATCGTTTTCTTATTTTAATTTGGGGCTACCTGCATTCTCACATACATCTCTCCTCTCATTCTACATGGTCTTACACCAGCAATGTCACCAATCGCCATGGACGGTACCGGTAAGGTATATACACGCTTTTTCATTTTATATATTTCTTATGTAATTTCAGAACTCATGGTTGGTATATCATACACTTAATTTGTCTACTCATAAAGCTGCTTTGGAGGGTATTTACATGAACACGAATCAGTCTGTGTTAGGTCAGTTACTGATGCACACCTGCAAGGTGCTCGACATAATGTCTATGTTAGGTTTTCACCTAGATGAGACCACTTTTGGCTACCAAGCCTATCGATATGCACCAAAAGGACTCGAGAACATGATAATTGAACTACAAGTGTCAGGTTGACCGAAAACCCAGTAGTCAACTTTTCTGGTGTGGTGGGGACCAGTGTTGGCTCTAGAACTGATGTTTCATTTGACACCAAAACTAGAAATTTCACCAAATACAATGTTGGAATTAGCTTCTTTAATCCAAATCTTATCACTTCTTTCACCCTGTGAGCTCTTTATTTGGTTGTATAAAAAATTAATCTTTTAAAGTAATTATGTTGATGATTAATTAATTAAGTATTGTAACAGAAATGACAAGGGGGACATACTGACTGCAGTATACTACCACATTGTTAAGCTATTGACCAACACAACTGTCAGTATAGAAGTCAACAACGACTTTTCTAGCAATGAAAACACGATTACAATTGGTAGCCAACATGCTTTGGGCCCATTGACCACAGTCAAAGCTCGGGTGAACAACTTTAGGAAAGCAAGTGCATTGACTCAGCATCCATTGACATTAAAACAAATAGATAATGGTGTCAGTGTTCCTCCATCTAGATGGAAATATTCAAAGTGTGACATGAATTAAAATCTTTGATTGAATTTGAGTGATGACAACAACTGGAAAAGAACTTGACCAGAATACCAACTTTGACTAGAATCGGATTTAAGAAAGTGGTCAAGAAGTTAAACCGATTTATGGACCTGGATACATAGGGCTAGTGAATTTTGGAAATAGGTTATTTTTTGTTCCTTGATATGATTTTTTTATATATAAAAGTTCATTAATTTTTCATATGTCTTGTAGTTTTATAATGTTATTATGTGCAGTTGTTATTTGGCTTCAACTATGCAAGTTGTTTTCTCATGTTTTGTTTACGGTTTGTATACTATTTCATTTTTATTTATTTAGTTTTTGACATTTTGACAAGTTTGCATAATAACTTATTCAACTACACAGGTACTACACGAACCGAAATTTGAAAATGGCTTTGATTATGCCCCTAATGATCCAATTTGCTGATCCAACTGTAGACTTGAATATGCAGTTGTAAGTATTTATATTTATATCAACTACACAGCAACTATTGATGTTAAAAGTCCACTTATAAGGGATACCTTTGTCCCAAATGATGTTTGTATTGGTGGGGCGGATCATGCCAGATTTATTGTGCTTACTGGTCCTAACATGGGTGGAAAGTCAACTCTTATGCGTCAACTTTGTTTAGCACTGATTTTGGCACAGGTAGAGATATATGTAATATGTGTTTCTCTCTCTGTCTCTATCTCTCTCTCTCTCTCTATCGCTCTCTCTCTCTCTCTCACTTTATCTCTCTCTTTCTCTCTCTCTTTAGTAGTTAACCCTGGTTAGTTATGGATGAATGTTCCAGGTGGGGGCAGATGTGCCTGCGCAAAGCTTTAAGATGCTTCTGGTTGATCGCATCTTTTTGAGGATAGGTGCAAAATACCATATTATGACAGGCCACAGTACATTTCTAACGGAGCTGCTGGAAACCGCATCTATGCTGGTCTCTCTGTGTGTGTTGGGTTTGTGACTGATATGAAATTGGATATGGTGTGCAGTCATCAGCAACATGTAGATCAGTTATGGCATTAGATGAACTTATACAAGGGACATCAACATCAAATGGACAAGCCATAGCGTACGCTTTCACTTTCACTTTCATGTGTTGTTGTAGTTGTTATCTTTCATCAAAACACATTATTTGGTTGGTTTGGTTGCAGTGCATCAGTTCTTGAACACCTTGTCAACAAGATCCAATTTCGGGGTCTGTTTTCTACTAACTATCATCACTTAGCTTTGGAGTATCAGCAGACTGACAACGTACCACATTATTCCTTTCCGAGTTTTTTGGAGCTATAACTATAGTGTTACTATTTTGATGGCAATTTTATCTTGGACCTTTGACCTTAGTGTGTGATGTATATAGGTTTCCTTGTGTCACATGGCATGCCAAGTTGGAGATGGAGATGGATGCGTAGAGGATTTAACATTTCTCTACAAATTAACACTTGGTGCATGCCCTAAAAAGCTATGGTGTTAATGTTGCATGCCTAGCAGGCAAGTTCCCTCCCTCCCTCTCTCCCACTTTTATTGTAATCCTAATCTAATAATACTATAATAGTAATGACGAACAAGTTTCACATGTTGTTTTTTTAGGGTTTCCTGATGCTGTGCTTAAAAAGGCTGCAATCAAGTCACAAGAGTTTGAGACAATGTATGGTAAAAGGAAAAGGACAAAGCAATCTAATTTCAAAATTTGCCGTTTTTATTTGGCTTCAACGTGGCTCATTGGCTATCACAAGTCCCTTACCAGGGTCAGTTGGAAGTCTACTTCATTCTTTTAAGAAGGTCAGTTAATTTTCTTTAACCAACAAAGCTTTATGATTTGAGAGTTAAATGATATTGCTGAAAACCAAACTATGTTGTCTTAATCCCAATTATAATGACCAAAATCTCATATTTATACAGCCTCCTAATCAGATTGCTCTTGTTGGTGAAGTTCTTCCACTTGGTGATAAAAGGTACAATTTTATAAGCAAAACATAAGCTGTCTATTTATCATTTTTCATGCCTCCTTAACTATACTAGTCCTTGATTCAATTCTGATTCTATGAAACTAAGAGAATGTTCTATCAATATTGTGCAATATAAAATCTGAAACAAAATATGTTAATGCACCTAATTTTGCTTTCAAGAATGCAAATATGAAATAAAATATAAAAAAAAATATGTTGGCATTAAATCTCACTGTAATGCCATATTTATCTTTTAGCAATATCATATTTATCATTTATATTTGTTATGCAACATGAAAGTATTGGTTTAATCAAGTCTATTTCTTATTATATTAAAAGCATTTGTGGTGTACTATAATAGATGACAAGGCTGCTGGACATTCTAGAAATGGTATTCAGTTCAAAGAATAGTACAATCATACATGAAGATATCGATAGAATCATTGCTAAGGGAGAAGAGGCAACTGCAGAACTTGATGCCATGATGAAAAAATTCACAGAAGATGCAATCAAGTTCAAAATGGACGACAGTATGTACATTTAATTTTTATGCATCTTCATTTTTACTTTATTTATTGTATTCTAACTTCTAATGGATTACGTATGCAACTGCTGATTTGTATGATTTTGATGATGACAAGGTATTCAGTTGTTCTCTTGTCCTATGATTATGTTGTATTACTATGTTATGTCATGCTCATAAATTATTGATGACTGTGTGTTTTAATTTATGAAGCACCAAAGAAATCACTCAAGTATATATATATATATATATATATATATATATATATATATATATATATATATATATATATATATATATATATATTATAGATTGCAAACTATAGAATGTGTTTAGTAGTGAATCTCATAGCGACAAAATGGTAAATCTGCAGGTGGTTCAATCAATGGCATTTATTAATATTTGGAATTACAGCCTCTGTATGTTTGACTAAAACCTACTGATTTTGTTAACTTTTTAACTTTGTTATTGGTTTCATTTAGTAATAAAGTATCAAATATGAACAGTTATGTGGTACTAATCCTTCTGAGGGGGTGTTTGTTGAGCTACTTCCTTCAATGTCATTAACAATAGTGGTAAGTAAAATCTTGGCTGCTTCTTTCAATGTCATTAACAATAGTGGTAAGTAAAATCTTACTATTATGAAACTCTTTTGCCTAAACCTACCTTATTGACCTGTACCTGATTACACATTAATTTAATTATGCAGGTTTTGAAGTTTTTTATGGAAAAGAATAGTGCTAATGCTCTTCATAGACAAGTATGTTGGTATTTTAAGAAATTTGGCTAATAGTTTAGTTAATTATATAAAAAAAGTTGAAATGTTACATTTGTCTACTATTGGAATGATTATTTGTATGACATTAACTTTTGTGCAATGTATTGTATTTTTTGTATATGGTAGTTTATTTTATATTATGAGACATGAAATGCAAATTTAATTTGAGAATCAGTAAATCTAAAAATATATATATTTTTTTAAAATTAAAATTATGATACGCAAAAATGTGTGTCGTCTTCATTTATGACATAGCCTTTCTTGACAGGGGGTTCCATGATACGCATTGCAAGTCATAAACACGCGCGTCGTAAGGTTACGACCCGCAAATGTGTGTCGTCCTCCTTTATGACAGGGCCTTCCTTGATACGCATTGTGTGTCATAACCGCGCGTCGTAAATGCGCGTCATAAATGTGCGTCGTAAATGCGCTTCTTCTATAGACGACGTGCAAAAGTGCGTCGTCTCTCTTTATGACAGGGCCTTTCTTGACTCGCATTTGCGCGTCGTCAGAGCGTTTTATGACGCGCAATGAGCGTCGTAAAAGGCTGTTTTTCTAGTACTGTTGAAACTTAACAAGAGAGGTTTTGTAGGGCGTAAGAGTATTAACAATAATATACATAATTTAACAAAGTTTTATTTAGTACTTTCAGTATTAAGTCTTTAAAAATTTTAATACTTTTTATTCTTTCTTAAAACATTAATTTATTAAAGTCTAAGATGCAAGTTACAAAACAAGTAAATGGTTAGGTGACCTTTATCCCATAAACTTAATCAAACTCGGTATGTAGTGATTACCAATTGTATACAATATGTAACTCATGGATAACGGGATCCTAAACAACTATTGCTTAATTTGGCATGTTTATCACATCTATGCCTTAAATCTCTCATGCTTAGGTGGCCTTTATCACATAAGATTTCAATCAAGTCATCCTACTTGAAACTACTTGTAGTATTGCGACTAACTAGTGATAAGGTGACCCTTTAGACACCATAAACTACAAAACTACCCCGAACATCATAAGAAAATCCTAATGACTAGGTGACCCTGTGCCACTAAGACCATACAAATGATATTGAGTGTTCTTCAAAAGGACGACAATGACTTGCATTTTTAAGAAAACGTTTTATATGTATATTTTACAATTAGTTTATAAAAACATGGTCTCATGAATATTGCATGCATCCAACAATTCATGTACCCTTTTGTAAAATCATATCACTTGTGTCCAATAAAATTTTATTTTATTTACCATTTGCCGCAATCAATTATAAACCAAAATCCAATTATAGTTTATAAAAACATGGTCTCATGAATATTTCAATGAGTTCTAAAATCACTATTATAAATCTCCTTTTAACAATAAAAATCTTATGACTTCCAGAATTTATAGAAAAAACTCATTTTTTTTTATAAACTCAATTTTATGCGTCTTATTTATTACATCTTATCAATAAAAAAAATATCAACCAAACACAATATAAAGGTCCAAATGGTATGTTTATACACAAGAACATATCAAATATTATAACAATCAACTCTTTGTTTTTTCTAAGGCAACTTTTATATAACAAAAACGCATGAAAAATGGTTACATATAAAAATTAACAATTTTAACCAAGAAGTTGTCAAAGAAGACAAATATGAATTTTTCTTAACTAAAAGAAATCCATGCTTGTTTTCCAAAAACTAAATTATCAAACATAAAAAATCATTCTAACATATAAAATATGGCTTTGATACCAACAATGGGTTTTGAAACAAAAAATAAGTGGGTTTTTCATAAAAATCGCAATGGAAGTCTTATAAAAATAAAAAGTTTATTTTTAAGTTTATAACAAAACCAAACCCTCAAGGATCCATTTATAGAGGTTACAATGAAATTAAAGATAACCAAATAGTGTTTTAAAATGACAACATTTAAAGACTTAGAACCCACTTGGTTTTGGGGTGTTGATGAAGATAGCAAAAATTTGAGAATAGAATTTCTTTATGTCTATCCACCATCAAGAGTAAGGTACTTGGAATGCTAGTTCCTTCTTGTATAAAGTAATTCTTAAGCATTTAAGTGCTTAACTCAAATAAGCACTAAAGGAGATGCACTTTAAGCCACCAAATACTTGAATAATCTTCAAAATAAAGCAAGAGAAGATGCATCATGCATCGTATGATTTTGGTGAGAGAGAATAGGGAAGAAGAGAGTGTTTATAAGACTAAACCAGTAGTCAAAATTCATGCAAGACACATACTCATGCAAAAACAAAAGCATCGCTAGATTATATTTTAAAGTAATCACCTTACTTTAAAGGCATGAGGGACAAAGGACGGAGATTGACAATCAGCCTCCCTTGCTTCATGATTGTTTCGGCCATACTATAGAAAAGAGGATGATTCTTCAAATTTTATAAACTAAAAGTTTATAAAATATAAATTTTGTCTTTAGGTAAAAGACGAAAAGATCCAACTAGTCTAAAAGGTTGTGTGTGACTTATTAATTCATATCATATGATATAATAATTAGTCATACTTTCTTATAATTATTATTTTCAGAAAAACAATAATTATTACCTTTATTAAACAAGAATTGATATTATTTATTAATAATCATATTAATAATAAACATAAAAAATGTGCCAACTTGATAAAGGTGTGACCCTATAGGATCATATATGTAACGTCCAAAAAATCAGAGTAAATTTTTTTCTTTTTCAAAACAAGAACAAGTAAATAATTATTTACAAATATGTTGTTTCAAAAGTATAGTAAGTAAATCAGAGTATTCCAAAATCCAATGATTTGGAATCCAAAAAGATTAGCATGATCACGCCTTTGCTTTTCCCAATCATCTACAGTACCTGATACCATAACAAACAACTATAAGCACAAAGATTAGTGAGTTCCCCTAAAGTACCAACACACAAAACATAAAACAACATAAATTACGTCGACACATAAAAGATTGAATTGCCGCTGAGCCTACAGTATGAGTCTGGCTTGCCTATTGGGCCCATAACTCATCTATGGATTGCTCCCAAGCCCACAACATAAGTCTGGCTTGGCTTGGGGGCCCACAACTTATGTTTGGATTGCTCCCAAGCTAACAACATAAGTCTGGCTTAGTTGGCTACCACACAACATAAGATTATGTCTAGATTACTCCTGGCTTTGTTGGCTACCACACAAAGTAGTACAACCTCAACCCAACCTTAATATGTCGATATATGCATTCTAGATTACATATACCCAGCAAACAGATAATCATATAATCAATCAAACAAACATGCATGTCCATAGTAATGTCCTATATCTTAGAATACATATTTAACAAATCACTATTGCATAATAACACCCAATATACCATAATAAAAAATCCATTGGGCCGACATTGGTGATTTCGACCCACTACTACAGCAAGGAAAAGTCACCTGAATGAAGAAACCCGAGAACCATTGCAGCACGCACTCTAACACACTACTTGCTCCAACGGATCCACTAACATGAAAACCATATAAAATCTTAACCACCGATCAAAACCCTCAAGTTTGACATAAAGTCAAAATTGGTTAAAAAGTCAACAGTCTACAGAGTCAACAAAAGTCAAAGTCCAAGGTTGGTTGAGTATGTCCTGCATACTCAACTTACGCCCAACATACTCGGGATGCTTTAGTACGCCCAACGTACCCGAGCTAGTTCCATCCTTTCCATTAAGCACTTAATCCCTTAAGCACTTTTAACCCAACCTCAAATCTAGCCTCAAAGCATTGTCTTAAGTCATAAAGTTTTCACCTTTATAACTTTCCATGGCTAGGGAAGGTCCAAAAGCTAAAACCCTAACTTATTAATCCATTAAGAGATCACAACTCTTGCATGGTAAGGACGAATATCACATTTTATGGTTCCTAATAGCTCCATAATAGATAAAGTTTCTAACTTCATCCATTAGAATGGTCCCAACAAACAAGATCTAGTCTTTAAGTCTCAAAGTGACCCAAAAGTGCATCCTTTTCAACTTAATCCATTAAGTCCAAGTCTCCAACCATCAGATCTGAATAAAAATAATGTCTAGATGGATAAAGTTTCTAACTTTATCTATAACAAGGTCACTAACTTTCAAGATCTAAACTTTATGCACTTAAAGTAATGAATTTTTAATGGATTTTACCTGTCCAGGCCTATTAAAATATAACTTTAAAATTAAAGTCAAATTAGTCGACAAAGTCTAAACGAAAGTTGTAGAGTA